GCCGGCCTGTCAACCTGGGCCTGACGCTGGTATCGTCCCCATTTTTGCAATTTTTGCAAGGCAGGTTTGTGCCTCGGCAGGGATCGAACTCGTGGCTCAGGGTGTGAACATGAGTCTACACTCTTAACCACTCGGCTATCCCTGCCTTGAAGTAATGCCCTTTGATGAAAATCATAACAAACTATGATGCTACAGCTTTATACTTACTGTGGATGGAATGCAGTTTATCCTCGAATATTTTCATCAATTCGCGAATTGTCTCAAGGAACTCGATGCGTTCACTGTCATGTTGACCATCGCAGAAGCAGATCTCTGGAAATACAAAAACCTTGACTGTTACTGTAATGGCTCTCAATATAAAATTATAAGCAGCAAAAGGCGCTATTTACCCTTTATGACCCTATCTGAGGTCGATTTTCATCAACCTTCTTTTTAGAAAGCAGACAAAACTTGGTAACTCATGGTAGCTTGACCTTCTGAAAGCGATTCTCACGTAGCACTAGATGCGTCCATACTTTGCAACTCGCACGATACAGGCGCGCGGTTACGATTAACCGCATTACACCGCTAACGTCGGACCATGCAAAGTTCGAAATGAGCTTTCCTACTGCGATTTCTTAGATGCAGCGTTCTAAGGATTAGCAGTGGAGCATGATCACTCGCAGTCACTAAAATATCAAAAAACGCAATGGCTCGAGTCGCGAAATATGAGCGCAGCTCCAGCCCGAAAACCCCCACTGCCGCGCTGCATTCTTCCTCTTCATCCTAACGTTGTCCCGCTAATAATTAATCGAGCAAAGTGGCGAGTCCCTTCTTCGGATCGAAAGTCGCCACTTTGCTCGATCTAGTGCATTTACTTTAGAGTTCTCAAGTCCGCATTTATGGTGTCCTGCCGGCGTTGTTTTGGTCTTCCTCTCGGCCGCTGACCGCCAGCTCCAAATCGATCTATAGAAGCCACGGTATCACGCTCAGCTCGCAAAACGTGGCCATACCATTGGAGTCGTCTCTCTTGCATCTTCTCGGCGATTGGTGCGACACCCATCTGGCATCTAATCACATCATTACTGATTCTATCGAGGCGTGAAATGCCCATTGACAGTCGCAGCATTCGCATCTCCATGGCGTGGAGTTGGCGCTCGGCACTTTTGTTTGCTAGCCAGCACTCGGATCCGTACAGCGTTTCTTAGGAAATATGTTGTCGGCACTTGTAGTGCGGATATCTGGAGTACGAGCAAGACCATTATGGTTTGTACAGTGGTGTGACATCCAGCGATGCGCGTTGACTTCCTGAAGTGCATCAGTTTGCCAATTTGGAACACCGAAACTCATGTGAATTCAAGGGCAGGCAAGACTCCATGATAGACACTACCAAATTTCCCCGTTCTTTGACATTTTCAAACGGTCAGTCAGGACAACTCGTCCGTCAGGCAGTGCGTCGCTCGCCACTCCCCGCACTGCAGCAGAATACGAATGTCTTGTCATATACCTCGGACACTTCGTGTTTTCCCGCTGAGCTCAAGCTATATTCCTTTAAGTCAAACTACTTCGGAAACAACTTTTTTGCCAATCCTACTCGCACAGAGAAATCGCTTTAAAAAAATCCGGCTCAAATTTCAAAAGTAGGGCCATAATGGCTAAATATTGTCGTAAAAAGTTTTGCAAGAATGTACCATCAAAAACCAATGGCGAAAAGTTCCTAAGCTCTCCGACATTCTTACGGACGGTGCTGATTACCTGAATTCCAGAACATTCTTAGACATCCCACGTGAAATACTTCAATACTGTTTACCTTACAATCCAACATTGCGCACAGCTTCACAACATGAGCTAATGCATCTTTCTCAGTGGATTTTCCTCCGACACCCAACGAGGCAGTTAAGCCGATAATCTAAAAAAAGAATCGTAAGAGCTATTTCTATACAAACTCTTCAGGCCTTAGACTGGCAGACATTACTGTTCTCATTGTCCGGTTCGCTATGGACGAAGGGACGTGAAAGGCGGAATAAGTCTGTCGCGATGCCAGACTCGTTCTCCACCGATTTTTGAAGCGAGCAGGCGACAAGACTGCATCATTGAGTTCGCTTCACTTCTTTTCTACCAATTTTTGCTGCATAGCTGCTTTTACAACTGGCCGAAAACGCGTTTGGAGTCGTGGTACGCTCGTACTGCCTGACAAGCCCCATCCGCAGCGATCCAAGAGTGTACACTAGTGGCAAGTAGAGCTGCTTAACATACCACAGTCAAAGGGCTAAATCCCGGTCCGAGTTTCACCCAATCCGATCAAGATTCCATCCCTGCGGGGTCGGTCAGTTAAGAGCAGACTTGTTTGAGAGGACACATATAGTCATGATCCTTGCAAACAGTAGGGCATGTGAGAGGGCGTAAGTTGGACTGCAGCTAGAACAGCCCTTGCCGCCAACTGCTGCGGTCTCAGCATGGCATCACTGATGAGAGCGGGCAGCGCTTCAATTTCCTCTCCTTCCCACGCCTCATCATTCCTAGGAATTATAACTGCACACTAACATTTCGGATCTCACAAGTCTTGCATGGCTCAGAATACCAAGCGAACTCCGAATGAACAAACGTGGGCGCAGAATGTGCCTCGGGCAGAAGTCAGAAATCAGTCAGCGAGTCATATTTCATAATAAAAATTATATTTACAATGTGCAATGTTTACTGAGAAAAATAAAATATTACAAACCTGTGGTAAAGCAGCCTTGGAGGGGAGTCTTTGTGAAAAGCTCAGACGATGGTAGAATCGCATTAGCACTGAAAGCGATCAGGTGTAAGTGTGGCACGAAGCTTCAAAAGAAGAGGAAAGGACTATTAATCTTGTCACCTCATTTGAACTCAACAACCTTTCCTGGTATTAACGCAGCCGTGGACATGGAAGTACACTTCATATCCCAGAGATGGAGTGGGCGTGGTTGTGTATTTCATTTGAAGCACGGCATGCGATGCGTTGTTCAATGTGTATTTTCATTTGGAACAGCTATCTTCCTATGTTGTTGGAAGAGGCATGACACAATTGTCCTTAAACGACAGTATCCCGCCAAAAAAAGAACAGTCGCCACGCTCTTATGGGAATACGGGCACGCCCTCTCCTTCTTAAAGATTCGGCCCACAAAGCTAAACTGCACCGATTAGTCTCCAGAACATTCTAAAGCCTCAAAACAATTTTAGAAGTGTAGGCAGCACTATCTAGTCACACGCCGTGAACCTTACTAGAAACACTTGCGATAGAATTAAAAACAGTGGGCACGATCGCTAGGGGCGGGCGTTTGTTGCCAGCGTCATTGGTGGATAGGCTGCGAAGGGACATTTGACGACACTTCACAAAGCCCTTCCACCAATGACATTGCGACAATCGCCTCCAGCGATAGTGCGCAGTGGCTTCATAAAGAAAAGAAAAAGACTAACTTGCATACGGTGAATTTTTCACAGCACTATGACACTCATCGAACACCATCATTGTGAATGTGGTCACATCGAAAGTTGAACGAATTACGTTTTCTATGCCATCATTTATGCTATCTTCCACAAGAAGATTCCTAAAATAAAGTGGTAAAGATGGGCGAAAGAGTTCACGAATATAGAGGAGTAAGTCTACATTTGAAGCAATAGGTGGCTGATTCGAAGAAATAAAGATATCTCGGTAGTAGTGTTCGGCTCGGAAGGGGCATTTTGCATTCTCGCCATTAGTTGGTCCATTTGATCGTGGGAATCAACAGTTTTTCACAAGGTCACCTGAACTAGCTAAGAACCATTTAGCGCCGCCACCGAGTCGAACTACGTCATTATAGAGGACCAAATGACATTGGATCACATGTCGACAGAGGAAGTATGTTGTTGGTTCACGTAAGTGTACTTCCTAGCTAGCTGACTTGGCACAATAGCAGCCGGCCACTTCAACTCATCGAGTCCTGGAGCGAATGCCGCGCGTGTGAACTCACGCCTATTTGCACCACTTTGCAACGCCTATTTCTTCGTTCTCAAGGCGAACTAAAAGTGATGACCTGCAGCTTGTCGATGAGGCGTATATTGGACACATCAGGTAAGAAGCGGTAATGAACATGTGCCACGTTGCAATCCAACCCCCATCCCCCCCCCGTATAATCAAAGCTATGGGCGCTTCACTGGGCTAATTTTCCTCCTGGACAACGAAGCAGCGGCTATAGCTCTTGACTATGTAGAACTGACAACGTCACTCACCCACATACTCTCATCTGGGAATCCCTACTTATGCGTACCCTTTTACGGTCACGACACAAAAAAACAATAATCTAAAGGTAGGCATCCTTACAGATCACTAGTATTTATTCATTTCAAAGCCAACAAACCGATAAACAGCGGTTTGCAAGCATATAAATTTACAACTAGCGAGAATGTGCGTTCCATACTTCGCGAGTCAGCGATCCAAAGTTTCCAAATCACTCAGGACCGTTTCAAAAAACGCTGCACGTGAAGCATCAAGACGCTTACGCAGAGTGTGTACACAGAGTGTGTACGCAAAGTGTGTACGCACTCCAAAGTATACCAGACTGCTTAATCATCGGCGACGCAGGGATATACCGAAATTTTCTGCTTCGCATCTCACTCCTGATTTCCCTTGAACAACGGTTTGCAGCCTTATGCGCTATGGAAATCGCAAAGGAAATCACTGATAACTGCATATGAAACTAACACTATAAGTTGCGGAGTCGATACAATGACATCTTTCGCATCAATGATCTCCCGAAGAGGGATATTGTCGGAACCACAAACTGCTTGGACCTAAAACAATAATATTGGGTAATACAGAACGAGTAAAATGGAGTTTACCTCATAACGATGATCAAGAAACTTTCGAAGGCAGTCTGCTTGCTGGTCGAGAATTACAGTATTTGGAGTCATGAATAGCACCTAAACAGGTCCCACCCTTACCAACTTGCAATGAGTCAAACGGCGCAGTTCGGCGGCGAGTGGAGGGGTAATTGTCTTTTTTTCGCTGCCTCACTTGTCTTGTCGAGCTACCAAGCATGATTTATGAAAACTTGTAAAGTTATAAAGTGACAATAGTGTTCAAATTGTAGAAATGCCGTCAACCCTTGTAAAGAATACCTGTCAAGTCTTGTAAGACAATGACCACGACAACAGGAAAGAGCGGAAGTGCAAAATGCCCCCTGCCCTCTGTCGCCGAACTGCGCCAGTGAAGCATTCAGTAGCCTACCTTCGGTTTTTTGCCACTATTCCTGTTCTTCTCCAAGTGACACTTTATAATGTTCACAGCAACGACCGTCTTTCCCGATCCCGTGGGAGCAGCAATGATTGTGTTCATTCCGTTCAACGCTTTTTCGCATAGCTCTTTTTGATAATCGCGTAGCAAAATGGGGTTCTCTGGAAAAAAATATGTAATGATATAGAATCAAATAAGAAGCAGAGGCGGTTTCGTGGGAAGTGGCATGCTTACCATGCGCGCGGTCTGTCGAAAAGGGGCGGTCAGGGCGCGTCTTGTCGCTGGGGGAGATCATCGCCAACGCGACTCCTCTAAAATTTCAGTGGTACGAGCCCCCTCCCCATCCTACCTACCATCTTTCTTTCCCATCTTCCTGCCGTTTTTGCCTAGTTTTCTAGGGATTTCTGCACTTTTCCCCATGAAAAACTGCCATCGAGCAAGAGGGGGAGGCCATATGCGCCCCCTATTCGAAGAGGCGAGCAAATACGAATATACTCTAGTTCGCTGCGGACGGTTGGGCCTGTTGGGCAGTATAATTGTGACGCCGTCAAAGCCGTTCTGTCTTGTTGAAGCGCGCATGCGACAAAAGTGGTAGAAAACGAGTAATACGAACGATATGATACAGTCATATCACTTGCTCGCTTTAACAACTGGTGGAGAACGGGTTTGGCACCAAACTCATCCCGCCTGACACGTGCAACCACCCCAGAGTATGAATCGTGCGTGTGAAAAGCGGAGGCAACCATCAAAGAGTTAGTATCAGGCCAAACGCGAACGACCCTTGCTGGGGATTTCCCCGCATAGATATGCTCTGGGCTGAC